TCTCTCTCTCTCTCTCCCCTCCTCTCCCTCTCTTCCACAAAACGCGCACCCCCCCCTCACACCCATGCTCTCAGCTGATCCTTGACCTCGTGGCCGTGCGCAAGTCCTACGGCATCAACTCACGATCCAAGGTCGCGGTGCGCAAGGCAGCGGGCGACGTCTACGCAGCCACCATCGACGACAAGGTGCGGGGCAACCCCGCCCTACCGGCCCCTGGGGCGCGGGACCCGACAGGGACGAAGATATGGGCCCCGCCACAGCCGCTTATGCCTGAAATTCGCGCTCCCTGCTAGCCGCACCCGGTGCGCCCGCGCGGCGACCCTCCTCGTCCCGCCCCGTCCGCCCCGCCGCCCTCTTCCCGATTCTTTTGCCCTTGTCCCCTCCCTTTTGGCCCCTGGCCCCACGCCATCTGTGTCCCCCTACAGATCGCGCTGAAGATCGGCCGCGGCGACTGGTCCCCCAACAGCGCCGGCATCAACGTGGGCCAGAAGGAGTGGAAGCTCACGGTCACAGGCCACAACGTGGCGGTGTGGGTCGCCGTCATGTCGTGATCCCCCGCCAGCTCGGCGCGACGCCGCCCCTCCTCCCGCGGGGCCCGCCCGGCGCCGCCCCCGCCCGGCGCGATGCTCGGCGGCCGCCGTGGGACCCGCGTACACGCGTGCGGCCGCGGCGCTGGGGGGTAAACAGCAAGATGGCTGCCGGGGCTGCCTGTGTGGAGTATGGCCTGGGGGCAGCGGACCGGGGGCAGCAGGGGCGCCGCGCCCGCTGCGTGCACGATCGGCCCGCGCGACGCGCGCCTGCCGCCAGCCGCGCCTGGGCCCTGCCTTCCCGCCCCTTTGTTTGAACGCCAGCACTGCGATCGGGGGAGCGGGGTGGCGCCGCCTGCAGGCGGCGGGGCACTGCGGCCGGCCCAGCCACCTGCACGCCTCCCCCACCCCCCCCCCCCCAAAGCGTTGGAATCGTGTGAAGCGCGCCTGCGCGGGCGCTTCTGCGCCGCGCCCCGCGCCATTCAACGGCCTGAGACGGCCCTAGCTAGAGCCTGTGTGGTTTGGCCTGTCCTCGGGCCCGGCAGTGCGCTGGCAGGGCGTGCTGTAGATCCTTGGCCCTTGCTCGATGAATGGCCCCTGCTCCCCTTTTGAACTTGGTAGCATCCGACAGCATTTGCCGCGCCTGGACACCCACCCCGTCTTTGTCAATCTTCTCGGGCACGCCCCTGCGCCCGCCGCGGCGCGCGCCACGGCGCGAGCGCTCCGGCCGGCTCGCAGCCCTGGGTATGTTCCCGCGCTGCCCGGTGTTGTGTCCTCCGCTGCGGCGCCGTCAAACGTGTAATACCCTCAACCACCCCCCCCCCCTTCTCTTCCCCCCTACGAGCCTGCCACGAC